TACTGACTGTCCATTCTCCACCTCCTGGGGAGGTAACGCACTGCATCATGAGGTGCAGTCTGATAACACTGGTGCAACGTGGAGAACCAAGGCATTTGCAGTGGAAGGTGTCATGAGACTAAAGGGCTCCCCAGGGAACAGAGACTAACAAGGAGATGGGGGGGCGGGGGGAAGAGAGAAATAGAGACCATTGCAGTATTTATTTTTAGCATGAAAATGTATCAGACAGGATATTGCCACAAGTCCCCTTGACTTCCATTGAGCATATGGGTCTAAACCTACCCCTAACAGTGTGGCACTAATTTACACCAGCTGCAACTGTGGCTCTAGGTGTGTAAGAGATTATGTGGAATAGTAGTAGTCACAGTTGATAGGTCACAAGCCAATTAACTGGACACCTTCCTACCTTTTAGAATCCACTTTTTGCAATAATCCAACTCAAAAATTACTACCACCATGCATGTTATTTTCCTACATAAGCCCTAAAGGAGAGGGCATCAGCTAGATGAGAGCAGAGCGGAGGCAAAGAAAGGGTGTGAGTTAAAATAGAGTTGCTCTGTCTTTTGATAGTCAGTTATTGTGTAATGGAGGGAGTATTTCCATTTCTCCTAATTCTTGTATTCTTGTCCTACTGCCTTTCTAAGCAAGGTTTTTTCCAGCAATAGTGACAAAATCCAAAATAAGGTTTCTAAATAGCCATCTGTCTTTGTTTAATTTCAATATACAGCACATTTCCCTAGAGCCATGGTACTTGGAATCTGGGGACCTCTGAGACCAGATTTGTTTTTAAGTTTGAGACATTACCTAAAGAGCTGAACAAAGGAACATAAGTATTGTCACAGTGGCTCATACCATGATCCCTTTAATCTACTATCCTGTCTGACAATGGCCTGTACCAGATGCTTCAGAGGGAGGTGCAAGAAAATCTGAAGTGGATAATTATGGAATAGTCAGAGAAGCTTCTTCCTAACCCCAAGGAGGGTAGTGATGGAGTTATGCCCTGGAATATGATGGTTTATAGGCATGATAGGTTAAACTAGCTAGGATTACAATTGCGGGAGGTATTATTCATATAAATCATTACTAAACTCTTTGGGCTAGATGTTCCACTGGTTTAAATTAGCACAATTCCATTGAAGTCAATTGAAATTATGCAGATTTACATCAGCTGTGGATCTGGCTCCTTGAATCCTACTAAAGTCTTTGCTCAATAACAGTTTGACACTGAGTTCCACAGGCTTACAATGAGTCACGAGAAGAAGTTTAAACTTTATTGGTTTAACCAAGTGACCCCTCTTTACTGGGCTATGTACAGATAAAGGACAGTCCCTGCCCCAAAGAGCTTACAATCAAGGGTGTTGCTTCTGTCACCTTTATTCATGTTGGTTAGTACCTGACTCTGCAAGCTGTCCTGTAGATTTCCAAGGGACAACTCATGGAGTGCAGGACAACATGAATAAGGGTAGCACATGAGATCCCAAATAGGGACAAGTGGTGACAGGTGGATGTAGACCATAATGTGTGTGTGGGTGGGGGGGGGGGGTGAAACGACAACACACCAGGGCAATGGATACAGGAATAGAATTAGCACCATGTACTGTTTGGAGACTTCCTAGGGTATTTTGAATAAATGAGCAAGACATAAAAGTGAGAAGATAAGTCGTTGTTTACAAAACCATGAGGATCAGAGACAGATCTGTCCCTAGCAATAGACTATTTAAAGAAAATTAACAAGATAATCAAATCATTAGTTAAAAACCAACTAACATGTGTAGTGTATGCACATTTTTCTATGAGACAAAGGATATAGTGCTAACTGCTGAGGATAGCACGAGTTCCCCCTCCTGGAGGGAATGCTACAGGGAAATGTGATCAGTGGTCCTTTCAGCTTTTAAAGGCGAGAAGAGATGCAGCAGCCAAGCCTGTTTGTGGGCTTTAGGTGCTGTACAATGTGTACTCTTCAGTTCTTGGATATTTCACAGCCTTATGCAGAATGCAAGGCTACCTTCATTAGAGAATTAATCTCAGACTGCAGCCAGTTCCTTGGAGTGGATTTGGGAACAGTCATCATTCAGAAACAATAAAACCTAGTAACCTTTATCAAACCACTGCACAGCCTCCCCTATCCCCAGCAATAGCAGTCAACTACCAGAGTGACTGAGTAATTACATCCTTCCTTGTCCCCACCTTAAACACAAGATAATATTCACAGAAAGCTTTGTCCACTCCCTTCCATAAAATAAGAGAAATTAAGTCATAATGACATCACATGCTCCAGAGCCAACCCAAGCCAGCTGCCACGGCTTCATTTTGGTGCTCAGACCTGATAAACTAGGGCTTATCTTCTGCTGGCTGCACTGATGCAGCCAAAAACTGCAGCTGCATGTTTTAATTCCTCAGGACTTTATGAAGTTTCCACGGGGGGGAAGTTTGTTTTGGAGCCATGAAAGATGCCTCTGTGGTTAAAGAAAACTGCCAGTTCAAACTCAAACTCTCTCAAGCTGCTCTCCAGAAGGGGCTCCTCGTGATCCAGTTATTCAGTCTCTCACAAAGACAACGTCCACAGAAGGAGACAGTCACTCTCTCTTCCCCACAGGCAGATCCATGAAGTGGCCATGCTCTTAGGACATGACCCAAAGCCCACTGGAGTGAATGGAAAGATTCCCACATGGCTTTAGTTCGGGTCCTTGGTGATGTAGAGTCAGACTAGGAGGAGAGCACTAAACCCTTCCTTCAGTCACAGGAGTTTGCAATGAGCACAGGTTTGCCCGATAGCATCCAAGCGCCATGGAAAGCCCTTCTCAGTGGATGTGACTGTCAAAGCAGAAAGCTGTTTTAATTCCAATAGCGCCATTACTCACCAGAAAACATTGCTCTTTCCAGCAAACTACAGCAATTCTAATACAAACCTACTTAAATGAAGGTTACCAACTTCAGCAGAGCCCAGCAAATCCCTCTCTCTGCACACACTCCTTGATACACCATCCCTATTCTTTACCTCTGCTGCTAGTTGGCAGATAACAGTCATAAGTACCTCTCACCTTCAGATGGAGAATTACTAACTATTCCAGCTGACTGAAAAGAATATCATTAATATCGACACATTCAGTGACATCAAGTCAAGGGTACCAGGAAAGGTTGCTATAACAATTGCTATAACCTGGGAGGCACATGGACACTATGGTGATCGAAGCCTGTACAAAATGATGGCTAGAGAGATCTCCTTCCATCAAGTAGTACATGCCATATAAAGTTGTACTTTCCACCTTCTACTGCTTTGCTATTTAAGCAAGTCTTCTGGCACCATATAAGCAATAGACTGGATTTGTAGGAGTTTGTGCCCAAAATTATAGACACTGCACATGTAGTTGTAGGCATTTGCACAATCACTAGTTAGACAGTTTTCCCTATGCATGTACAATCACTACAACAGTAATTTTACAAGCAAATTATGTACATGAATTTTTACATGTGCAATTCTATAAACCTTGACCAATGAGATCAGACAAAATTAGATAAATTCTTTCTTGGTGTAACTCCACTGACTTCATTTGGTTTACCTGGCAGATAAATTTGGCCCATGAAGCTTAGAGATTTAAGAATTACACTAATATACAAAGTCTGGACAGTTAGATTTTGAAATTGCACATTGATAGTAATTATCTTCCAAACATGTGGCGATTTGCTATTGTAACCTCAAAATAATAAACTTGGCCAGGTAACACATGCTGTGGTATCTAGCAGGTAATCAGAGATTAGTAACATCATGGTTGTTCAGAATACACCCTATCAAACAGTCATACCGAAAAGTATTCCACTGAGCCCCTCCGACTAAAAGCACGTGTCCCCTCTGGGGTGTTTTGAGCAGAGAGGGCAACATGTTGCAGTGGGTTAACCGTTAGCCAGTCTTGGACAAAGTGCATCTACAGATGCAATATTTTAAGACCAGGAACAACGGAGAGCCCTTAAAGGCATTTACTCCGTTGCCTATGGCATTCTGATCAAGGACAGCGCCCTCCCTCACGGCTCAGCTACACCTCCTGCTTCAGCTGCAAGGAAATCAACCTGCGTTTAGGGCTTCGCAGCCTCCGAGAGCAAAGCGATGCACCAACTCCGCAACGTTAGGCTCAAATAAGAATAGAAGCCGGAGCTCAAGAAAGAGGGAGACGCCTTCTCTCCAACTCCAGTGTCACTGCTGATTAGTGGCAAGGGGGAACCGTGGCCCCCTTTTCCTAGGGCTTGCACCAGCCAGTCATCTCCCTACTCTCTGTCCAACTAGAACGGGCCACTTCTCCACACAGTCTGGGCACTATTGGTGCCAGAGCCGTCTCCTCTACAGCTCCTGCCAGGTGGACCAGCCTTCCCCTAGTTCTCCGCTTCATTGAGCCTAGCCCTGCTCTCAAACGCCGGCTGAAAACATCGCCTGGCTTGTGCTTCTTTCGTTGCTCTCTGCCTCGGTCATGATTTCTCTGTATTGATCTCCTGAAGTGAATCAATCGGGGGATGCGCGCGTGGTTCGGAATCGGAGCTACACAGCGGAGTTGTCTTGCCGCAACTCTTGGAGGTGGAAATGCCCTAGGAGCGCACTGGCTCTGCGCCCTGCCCGGGCCGGTGGGAGCCGCCCTCCCCACGGAGGACGGCTTGTTTGTGCCTTAGTGTGAAAGGGACGCGGAACTGACACGGCAGGTGGCGAAGTTCAAAGTCTGCTCCCGTGGGAGAGCTCCTGTCCGCCGCACCCCACAGACCCGCCACCCCAAGGCTAATTCGGAGCACGTGCCCCGGACAGACTCCGCCGCTGCCTCCGGAGCCACTCCGGCCCCACACCCAGCGCCGCATCCCTGCCCCTCCGGCGCGCGCGGGCCAGGGGCAGACGGAGAAAGCCCGACGGCCCTTCGCGCACCCCGGGGGGCAGGTCTCCGCGGGCCGGGCGCTCTATCATGGCCCCCGGCGGGATCGCTGCGGGAAGGGGATGCACCCCGGGCAGGGCAGCGGCTCCTTACCATTGCCGTGTGCGCAGCCTGGCCCCCCGGGGCATGGCCCAGCTCCCTACGAGGCTGTCCGCATCCTCCCGTCGGCTGGCTGCCTCTCCGGGTGCCGGGCACCGCCGCGCTCCCGGGCCGGTCCCAGAGCCCGCTCCCCTAGCAGGCGCCTCTCGCTGCCCGCTGGCCCCGCTCCCGGCCAGCCACGAGCGCACGGACGAGCAGCTTCCCCGCCGCCTGAGCGCGTCGCCGGTCCCCGGGCTGCCTAAGTCCTGGCTGCTCCGGTGCCGCCTTTCAAACCCAGCCACCCGCGGCGCGGCCAATCAGCGCCGGCCCGCGGCCTCCCCCGCCGGCTGAGCGAGGGAGGAGCCGGGAGGCGCGGGGCAGGCGGGACCGCAGCGGCCCGGGCAGTGACGGTGCGGAGCGGGCATCGCGCACTCAGCCGTGTCCTCAATGCTCCAGCCGGGCCCGAGGGACGGGACCCTCTCGCTGCGAGTCCGGAGAGTGTCAGTCTTCTCAGCTGTCACACTGCCGGGTCATTGTCCGGCCCGGGGGAAGTCCCTGCCTGCCTGCAGCGTCCTGCGGACAGCTTGGCACTTGCTTCCCGGCTCTCCTTCCTTTGGAAGATGTGCCTGACGTTTCTGTAGTAGGGAAGAAGATAGACAGATGGACACGGGGTAGCCAAATCACCCTAAGCCGGGGCTAGATCTTCAGCTCATGCCCCTGCCATACATCGAACTAGCTCTATGGCCTGCTGAGAAGCGGGCCTCCGGCTCCACAGGCTCCTGCATCTTCAGGGTGTTGGAAACTTGAATCTAAATCCTGCTCTGAATTTTGAAAATGCTCGTTTAAATATGGGGTTGAGCCAAAACCTGGATGTGAACGCCCTAAATTAGGGTGTCTTCACAATCCCAGATCAGGATCCCAGGGACGGCTGTCCTGTGAGTGCATCTATAACAGGGAGTGCAGCTTTCAAACAGGAGAGCTGTAAGTGCTGTTGTTCTCTGACCTCGCTGTAAAAAATGTGACCCTGAGGCTCTTGTTCACTATCTCCGTGATTTTCTGACCAAATCTGCTCTGTTTGCCAGGGAAACTGTGTTCTCTAATGCCAGCCCTGCAGACTCAGCCTGGGTCTGGGTGTCAAGCTGCAGTCTTTCCACCTAGCTAAGGCTAGGTCTACACTACCCGCCTGAATCGGCGGGTAGAAATCGACCTCTCGGGGATTTTGCCGCCGTCCTCACAGCGGGGTAAGTCGGCTGCGATACGTCGAATTCAGCTACGCTATTCACGTAGCTGAATTTGCGTATCTTAAATCGACTCCCCCCTGTAGTGTAGATGTACCCTTAGCATCACCAGTATCTCCAGCTCTCCAGGACATATTAGGGCCACAGCTACCTCTGTGTAACTGTATGGTCTTCAGATTACACCCTAAGTGACCTGTGCAATCACATTTCCACTAACAGGCTTATCCAGCTGTGACTGCCTGGAATTTAGTAACCCCTACAGTTGATCATGCACAATATGGGTCAGAATCCAAAGCCCACTCTATCTTTGTGTTGGCCCTTAGGGCAAAATCAACTAGTTTTTACTATGAATGTCAGCAGATAGGACTCTGATACTCAACAGACGTGCTCTCATTGTGTAAGGTCCTGGTCCTGCCATGACATCAACCCTACAAGGAGCTGAACTGAATTCAGGTAGATGCCACTGCGGATTAGTGTCAAAGAAGGTGCCATTTTAACACAGGCATTCTTCAGAGTAGGACCACACTGTAATAGAGTGTTCCAGTCTTTCTTCTGAATGCTCAGAATGGCACTTAGGTTGGGGCATAAAAGGGCTATTTAAACCAAAGTGCAAATTTAGGCATCTCAGTATGGGAAAATGGACAGCCTATAAAGGTGCCTGTGTTTATGAGAAAGGCTATCTACTACATAACAGCACATAATGGTGGTTGAACTTTTTCAAATTTTCAAAAATACAAACATTTTTCATAGAGTGGTTGAGATTTGGATGGAAAACTTTCAACAATGGTCTGTGAAAATTTGTCAGCTTTTTCCACCAGCTCTAACAACCTAGTTGCACAAAATGTGACACACAAGGCCACCATACAATTTATTAGATGTTCATCACTTTAGTAATGAAATGCAAGATTAAGAATAATAATTAATAATAAATTATGTGTTAAGAAAACTATTGGCAGGGTTGGATCCAGGAAGAAATGCTGTTTCTAACCACAAACCAGATTCTGTCAAAACTTTGGCCCCACAGCACAGGCTGTATCCATTGGTCTATACCGGCCTGAGAGGAGCCCTCCCAAAGTTGAAGGTTAATTTTAATGAATTCTCAACAGAGATTTCATTTTGTATCTTCCCAATACTGGGAGCTTTCAGTGCCGCTTGTGATCATAGCTTTTGTTATTAATATTAAACCCACATCTCTTTGCCTCAGTGTCGTGGTTTTAGCTCCTACTGATAGATCATGATACTGCTGTTCCTGCATCCCCCGCCCCCCACCTCAACATCAGGGCCAGCTCCAGGGTTTTGGCTGCCCCAAGCAGACCAAAAAAAAAAAAAAAAAAAAAAACCACGATCGCGATGGCAATTCAGCGGGAGGTCCTTCGCTCCAAGCCGGAGTGAGGGCCTGTCCGCCGAATTGCCGCCGAAGAGCTCGACGTGCCGCCCCTCTCCGGAGTGTCCGCCCCAAGCACTTGCTTGGCAAGCTGGTGCCTGGAACCAGCCTTGCTCAACACACACCCCACTCACTGTGATCTCCAATGGAGTAGATACTTCCATGGCATACTGTCTGACAGTCCTGATAGCAGCAGCCTTCCTGCAGTCACAATTGTTCTGAGACAATATCAGCAACAACTACCACGACACTATTGTGCGTAAGTGTAAGTCTGACAAAATAAAATGAGAAACCTCAGAGCGTATAGGTCCCAATCCGGCAACATATTTAAACACTGATTTAACTCTAAGCATGAGTGGTGCTGTTGAAGTCAATGGATTTACTCACATGCTTGAAGTTAAGCATATGCTTTGCTGGATCAGGAACATATATACAGTAGAACCGCAGAGTTACGAACACCTCGGGAATGGAGGTTGCCCATAACTCTGAAATGTTCGTAACTCAGAACAAAACCTTAGGGGTGTTCTTTCAAAAGTTTACAACTGAACATTGACTTAATACAGCTTTGAAACGTTACTATGCAGAAGAAAAATGCTGCTTTCCCTTTTCTTTTTTTAGTAATTTACATTTAACACAATGTACTGTACTGTATTTGCTTCTTTTTCTTTCTTTCTTGTCTCTGCTGCTGCCTGATTGCATATTTCCAGTTCCAAATGAGGTGTGCGGTTGACTGGTCAGTTTGTAACTCTGGTGTTCGTAACTTTCTACTGTAGCATAAATCAAAATCACTTCTATCTGCCTATGTTCTTATACGGCAACCAACATTGTGGTACATGAGATCCTGTCCTCTTTCACCCTAATCCATCACACTAAATTGATGACTGGGGATTGATGAAATAGGGAGTTGGAACTACATTAAAGAAAATCCCTACCAAACACTGCTTTGTTGCATCACAGCAAAACCCTCTGAAAGCTCTGATCCACTCTACTGGTCCCTGGATATTTTTAGGGAAATACACTTTATTTATATTTTATTGATTTATTTCCAAAAATAAGAGAATAGGAAAAAAGACAGAAGAACAGAAAGATAAAGGGAAATACATTCTGAAATCCTGAACCCCCTGGTTTTAATCCAGAAATTTTGGGTCTAATTCAGAGGGTGGTTCCAGTCATCTTGATCTTTTAGAGGCTGACCCTCAACAGGCCTGAGAGATCAGAGTACAAAGTCTCTTATTGGTTCCTGTACTCCACGTGGAGGTGTTTGTGAGCTCAACTGAGTGACAAGGAAAATTCTTCACATCACACAAATTAAGTTTGATTTTAATGGTGCTATTGAATCTGTTCTGAGTTCCCAAGGCAGAATCCACCCATCCCACAGACAGGCTGTGAGTTGGGCCCTCATTGTTTTTATCTCTGTTACCTCCATTGTTCACATCTGATCCTTTTTGTCTGTGTGTGCGTATTATGGTGTAAGATGTTTGGAGGTAAATATTCTGCACAATAGGAATTAGCCACATGCAGGGCCAGTTCTCCCATCCAGACAAAACCGACAGGTCACCTAGAGCAGCAAAGTGTTTTTTGTGATTCTTTAGTGTGTGAGTGACAGCAAATTGGAAGAGGAAGATATTCCCCAGTTAGCCAAGGGCAACAGAAGGGTTGGTGTGTCAGTGCTGGTCATTAATGGTGAAATGTGCAGGACTGACTTCTCCTGCATCATAGGACTGGAAGGGACCTCGAGAGACCATCTAGTCCACAGTCCCCAGCACTCATGGCAGGACTTAGGCCTTGGCTACACTTGCAGCTGTACAGCGCTGTGAGGTAAACCTGTCTTCGTACAGCTGAGTAGGGAAAAGCGCTGCAGTCTGTCCACACTGACAGCTGCAAGCGCAGTGGTGTGGCCACACTTGCAACATTTGCAGCTGTGTTGGGAGTGGTGCATTATGGGCAGCTATCCCAGCATTCATGTGGCTGCAACGTGCTTTTCAAAACAGGGGTGGAGATGGGATAGAGTGTGACAAGGAGTGTGGGGGGAGAGAGAGTGCTTTTTGGAGTGTGTCAGCACTCTATTTTGCAAGTTCGGAACTCCCAGCCCCCTGCTCATTCATTCACTCACTCAAAGCAAACAGCAAACTGTTTGCTTTTTCTCTGTGGTACGAGCTTTGAAACCGGCACTTCCGCATTCCTGCAGCCGGTCACAACAGTGGAGAGGATTGGCCATTTGACAAGGTGATTAGTACAGCCCTGCAAGCGTTTACACTCACAGCGGAGTGGCTACGACTAACAGGTGTATCTCTTATGCTTCTTGGGGAGGTGTAGTACCTGCAGCGGTGTACCCAGGGAGATACAGCGCAGTACGTGCCCTGCCAGTGTGGACGGGGAGTGAGTTACAGTGCTGGGGGAGGCTTTACAGCGCTGTAACTTGCAAGTGTAGCCAAGGCCTAAGTATTATCTAGACCATCCCTGACAGGTGTTTGGTTAACCTGCTCTTAAAAATCTCCAATGATGGAAATTCCACAACCTCTCTAGGCAATTTATTCCAGCATTTAACCACCCTGACAGTTAGGAAGTTTTTCCTAATGTCCAACCTAACCCTCCCTTGCTGCAATTTAAGCCCATTGCTTCTTGTGCTATGCTCAGAGGTTAAGAAGAACAATTTTTCTCCCTTCTTCTTATAAGAACTTTTTATGTACTTGA